TGGTTATCTGTTGTAATGACTAAGAACCTGCTACCATCAACATAGTTATCTGTTGTAATGACTAAGAACCTGCAACCACAACATGGTTATCTGTTGTAATGACTAAGAACCTGTAACTACAAACGTGTTTATCTGTTGTAATGTTATGAACTTGTAACCACCAACATGGTTATCTGTTGTTATGACTAAGAACCTGCAACCACCAACGTGGTTATATATTGTAATGACTAAGAACCTGTAACCAACAACATGGTTATCTGTTGTAATGACTAAGAACCTGTGGCCATCAACATGGTTATATATTGTAATGATTAAGAACCTGTAACCACCAACGTGTTTATCTATTGTAATGATTAAGAACCTATAACCACCAACGTGTTTATTGATTGTAATGATCATTGTGGTTGATTTGATTAAAATAAATTAGAAAGTACAAATTAACATCACTAGATTTACACGAACACGCAAACAATTCTACTGTAAATTATTAACAATATATTGTAAGAAATAAAGTGTAGTTTTGATTGAAAAAAGAAAGAAAGAAAAGGTAACAAACCTTATGTGTTACGCATTAAAAAAAACAAAACAGGATGGGAAAAGAACCAAATAAAAACAACAACGTGACCTGATCGGAGTAGGTCTGTCTTGTAAATGTGAGTCTCTCGAAAAGAACCTTCATTTTATGGTAAAATCTTTGATGCAAAGACAGGAAAATGTTGTTATATTTATAAATATGAAATTCAATCATTGTGTGTATGGATATGGAAACTGTGGCATCTATGTGTGTCTTTCTAATGAAATACTTTAGAAGTATTTAATCGAGTTTATGACGTATAAGATAGTTTATTCAAACTTGACGAATTCGTAATATTCTATACGGAACAAAAGATCAATTCTCCCTTTTCGCAAAATACTCTTTATTGTACCTCTTTCGTGGGATCACAGGCTAGTCGACACTATTAAAACGTTAAAAACCAGCAAGGATCACAGGCTAGTCGACACTATTAAAACGTTAAAAACCAGCAAGGATCACAAGCT